TCTGTTGTTACAAATACGTACCGGTGCCATGAGCAGAGCCAAGGGGTGCCACTCCTGCCAGTTAAAATGTGATGTATGTCAGTATTAATTAATGACAAGTGAAAAACAACGATAAATTGTTGCCTTAAATACACAACATTTTTCTGTTGCTTTAAAATTGAAATGGGGCAGCTGTGGTTCAGGAGAGCAGTCATCCCCTAACCGCAAGGTCAGCGGTTCGATTCCTGTTCTCCCCAGTCAGAGTGTCCTTGGGCAAGACACTGAACCCCAAGTTGCTCCCATTGGCCAGGTCAGTGCCTTGCAGGGACAGTACTGTCATCAATGTGTGTAAGTTGCCTGGTTCTGTACTGTTGTGTTCATGCTTGCAATAGCATATAGCTGTAGTTACCTTGAGCACCAGAGGTGTTGCTGGGGCAGTGCAGGTAGACAGTCAAAAGAGGAGAAGTAGAACGGTGAGACAGGGTAGAGAAGAAGTACGCATGCAGATATGCCAATGGTGAATAAAGCGACATAAAAGTATTGCGTCTCCTAAGTCCTTCACCATAACAAATTGGCAACGAGGATGAGCACTTCAGTGCCGAGTCCACCGCCCTTTCTACATCACGCCGGGGAACCGCCGATACCATTTGCAATATGGCAAAAATTCTTCGACAACTACAGTGGTGTGAAAAAGTGTTTGCCCCCTTACTGATTTCTTATCTTTTTGCATGTTTGTCACACTGTAATGTTTCAGATCGTCAAACAAAGTTATATATTAGTCAAAGATAACACAAGTAAACACATCATGCAGTTTTTAAATGAAGGTTTTTATTATTAAGGGAAAACAAAATCCAAAACTATATAGCCCTGTGTGAACAAGTGTTTGCCCCCCTGTCAAAACACTGGTTTATCGCACCTGAGTTCAATTTCTCTAGCCACACCCAGGCCTGATTACTGCCACACCTGTTCGCAATCAAGAAATCACTTAAATAGGACCTGCCTGACAAAGTGAAGTAGACCAAAAGATCATCAAAAGCTAGACATCATGCCGAGATCCAAAGAAATTCAAAAACAAATGAGAAAGAGAATAATGGAGCTCTATCAGTCCGGAAAAGGTTATAAAGCCATTTCTAAAGCTTTGGGACTGCAGCGAACCACAGTGAGAGCCATTATCCACAAATGGCGAAAACATGGAACAGTGGAGAACCTTCCCAGGAGTGGCCGGCCAACCAAAATTACCCCAAGAGCGCAGCGACAACTCATCCAAGAGGTCACAAAAGACCCCACAACAACATCCAAAGAACTGCAGGCCTCACTTGCCTCAGTTAAGGTGAGTGTTCATGACTCCACCATAAGAAAGAGACTGGGCAAAAATGGTTTGCATGGCAGAGTTCCAAGACGAAAACCACTGCTGAGCAAAAAGAACATAAAGGCTCGTCTCAGTTTTGCCAGAAAACATCTTGATGATCCCCAAGACTTTTGGGATAATACTCTGTGGACAGACGAGACAAAAGTTGAACTTTTTGGAAGGTGTGTGTCCCATTATGTGTGGCGTAAAAGTAACACCGCATTTCAGAAAAAGAACATCATACCAACAGTAAAATATGGTGGTGGTAGTGTGATGGTCTGGGGCTGTTTTGCTGCTTCAGGCCCTGGAAGACTTGCTGTGATAAATGGAACCATGAATTCTGCTGTGTACCAAAATATCCTGAAGGAGAATGTCCGGCCATCCGTTTGTGACCTCAAGCTGAAGCGAACTTGGGTTCTGCAGCAGGACAATGATCCAAAGCACACCAGCAAGTCCACTTCTGAATGGCTGAAGAAAAACAAAATGAAGACTTTGGAGTGGCCTAGTCAAAGTCCTGACCTGAATCCAATTGAGATGCTGTGGCATGACCTTAAAAAGGCAGTTCATGCCCGAAAACCCTCCAATGTGGCTGACTTACAACAATTCTGCAAAGATGAGTGGGCCAAAATTCCTCCACAGCGCTGTAAAAGACTCATGGCAAGTTATCGAAAACGCTTGATTGCAGTTGTTGCTGCTAAGGGTGGCCCAACCAGTTATTAGGTTTAGGGGGCAAACACTTATTCACACAGGGCTTTGTAGTTTTGGATTTTGTTTTCCCTTAATGGACAAAGTTACAACGTTTGAGGAAGCCATAGCTGCGCTTGAAAAACACTTTGTCCCTAAAGTTAATGTGTTAGCCTGCAGACACACATTCAGGCAATGAGTGCAACGTGCTGATAAAACAGTGAGCCAATATGTTACTACATGCAAAAAGATAAGAAATCAGTAAGGGGGCAAACACTTTTTCACACCACTGTACATGCTAGTGATAAATGCTATGGGAGACGCATGGCCGGACGTAAGATGATCTGGAGGAAGGTCTTACTCTGGATAAAGCACTGACCATTGCTTGTCAAGTGGAGGCAGCAGTTAAAAATGCTACTCTGCTCTCTTCTGCAAATACAGTCCCAGTTACACCAGTACAGGCGGTGGGTGCTGCAAATGTACGTTTTCGTGGGAAAAGAGGTGCGCGACCACCTCAAACCAAAGCTGAAGTGCAAAGTAAACAGGCAAGTAGCAAACAACATCAATGCCATTGTTTCAGATGTAGATCTGATAAGCATCTGGCTAATGATAGAAACTGTCCAGCTACTAAAGTGACATGTGACAACTGTAAGAAAAAGGGACATTTTGCTAAAGTATGCTAATCTAATGTGGCTGTAGTGAGAGAAGTTGAAGTGCCCGAACTAACAGTACTGTGTGTTGATGATATGAAGTTGGTGGCTGCAGTGTTTGATAAAATCACCTGTCAAATTAACATTGAAGCACCACAAGGAAATTCCCAGGTCCTGGAATTAATCGTAGATACTGGAGCTGCTGTATCTATCCTACCAGAAGCAGTATACAAGCAATATTCCATACACTGCTCATTAAGAGACTCAAAAGTTAAACTGGTTTCATATGCAAAAGGTGACTTACCTGTCATTGGCTGTTTGGAAGCTATGGCTGCG